TAAAAATCTGTGCACAAAACTTGAAGAAATTTCCTACAGAAGTTTTGATGCTGGAATTTGGAGCGTGATTTACCTTTATCCGTGTAATTGTCTGGCTCTAAAAAGAATTTGTGGATATTTAGCAATGTTTTAAACCCTTTAACTGTTACAATAACATCACGTGAGTAAAATTGAGAAATTTTGCCGCAAGACAACCTTTTAGAGTTGAAGCGTAATTTCGCGTTCAGTGTGTTTATTTATAACCCGAGAAATCGTGGCTATCTCGTAGATGTTCAAGGGAAAAATAAATCGCTGAAGTAGGGAATTTCCAATCCTTTAAACACTTTAACTGTTACAATTACATCACGTGAGTAAAATTTGAGAAATTTTGCCGCAAGACAACCTTCTAGAGTTTAAGCGTGATTTCGCGTTCAGTGCGTTTATTTATAACCCGAGAAATCGTGGCTATCTCGTAGATGTTCAAGGGAAAAATAAATCGCTGAAGTAATAACCGAGACATTATCAACGTGACGTTATAAACGCGTTATAACCGAGACATTATGAACGTGACGTTATAAACGCGTTATAACCAAGACATTATCAACGTGACGTTATAACCGAGACATTATCAACGTGACGTTATAAACGCGTTATAACCGAGACATTATCAACGTGACGTTATAAACACGTTGTTCTTAGTTTTCTACGTGATAACCTGTGATCACGACTTGGCTTTGGATTACGAAATGAAAATAATGTAATTATAATGATTATTTAAAATATATTTTGAACATTGTACTTAAGAACCCTGACCAGATGGTGAGCGTACAAAATTAAGGGGAAGTTATAAGAGAAACGCGCATAAATGATATAGGGTAACATTCGGACATTCGGTCCATGAAACAAACTCACAGCGGATTCTAGCTTCCTTATTAAGGTGGAAACCTGAAAAGACGCATTAACATGAACGTGAACAAACAAACAAAACAGGATACAATCCGAACGTATGAACAAGTTTCAAAAATGCATTTACAATTTCTTAATTACCGCTATTTGGAATTTACGAAAGTGGGAGTACGAAATCAGAGGCGGTTATTGTGAGACTGTTAAGGGGTATGCCGTGCAAATTGCAATTAGTAGCTAAGTTCTTAATCTCCTGGTATCAGGTTTAAGAATACCGGCACAGGTAAGGAAAACAAGGACATTATACGTTTGATCGTGAGTTTAGTGCAGCACTCAGAAGTGTCAAAGTTTATAAGCTTGGACGGATCTGTCTGATCTAGTAAATCAATTAGTTAAAACCTGAGGGGTTTGGGTTCGTTTATCATTGTCCGAATAACATATTAAATATTCATTGGCCAGGGAAGGATAATGACAAGACCTGTAACTAAGCGTAAGTATTAAAGATAGGTTCACGGGATACACTAGATAGAAGTTACAGGATCAAAGCACAGTATGTGTAGTATTTTGGAGATAGAGTATAACGACACTGCGTGTTGGCTGAGTGCCGGAGTCTAGAGTTAACTGCATGACTGCAGCTGAAGGCTGTCTGCCTAAGACTGAGACACGCTACGACTACGACTGACTGGCAGTGCGCTCTCCGAGCTTATATACGCGGTGACCCGATTAATAAGTTTGCATTAATGGAATTAATATTTATTAATTCTAAAACATTAAATACAATAACGTGACCGCGTTCTCCCAGAACGGTACTATGACCATCGTACAAGTAAGTAAATTTAATGAGTTGCTCGTATGGTCGACTCGGTCTGCGGTCGCCACCTGCTGTTTACAAAACATCGCAGCTCAAGCTGGGGCGCCAAGCTTTCACCTCTGAACTCCATGTATACGCGTCTATAGCACGCACATAGCTTGACGTACACGTTGTTAAGTACCATTGGTACAGCAAGAGCTTTTTAAAATATGCTCTGTTCTTTATATTACCGTTAAACACGTGTAATTTATTCACGTTTTTATTGAGGTTTCATGAATTAAATACTGATGTAATATATATGATGACAGCGTTTATGTGATTTCGTTTTTACATAAATCATCATTCGCTTTTGACATACCAACAATTGAACAGAATAAATTAACATTCTCAAAGTTCATTATAAGCTTCAGTGATTAAGAACGACGATCGTAATTAAATGAACGATTAGTTCAGGAACAAACTTGATAACTTGGTATCTAAGTCGCATAGACAGTATACGATCTCGTCACACGATTCAGAGACTTGCATCGACGTTAGTTATAAAACCTAGCCCGTTGCTTGCAACGTTTTTAGCCATGCTAAATTTTAATTCAAACATCACAGTTTGTCTCTAGAAACTATCACATCATCATCATCAAAATAATTCAAATTAAGCTAGATAAATTGGTATACGTGTGTTACGTTATCACCATCAGTCAATTTCCATTGATGGCTGCTCATTCGCAGATTCTGACCGCCTCACATGTTTTAAAACATGAACAGTGCTTACGTGCTACCATATGGTTTGAACACATGCAAACATTTATGACGTCAGTGTTAACTGCTAGCATTATCTAATTTGAAAGAGCGAATACATATAAACTCCAACAAGGGTCTCAACATCATTTTATATAACTGGATTAATAAAATCACAGATATTAACAGCTCATTATACATTAGCATCAACGGCGTTAATGCCGCATTGCTAGCAGAATTCGTCAATTCTGTAATTAAGGCTGTAACAGCATGAAGTTCATTATTGAGAATTGGCTGTATAGTTTGAGGGACTCGTGCTAAATTATTAATTTAATATCGGCCTTTAACCTCACAGGATTTATTGTTCCGGCTCATATTTCTATGAGTCAATGACCTTTATTTTGCATATTAAAGACGTTGTCTTTTCATCAGTACATAATTCAATTAAATCGACTGGAAACATTCATCTCAGTGAACGTGAGCAGTGCCCACTGACGTACCAGCGATGGTGCTCAAGCATCGCGGCACATATATATATCTCCATTCGAAGTAAAAAAAATCAGCCTCTGACTATTAACGCTCGTCATGTGTATTCACACATGAACATTGCTACGTGTTATAAATACAACATCGCATAAGAAAAATAGATGCAAGACAATTGAGCGTTTAACTTAGCAAAATTATCAGTTAAATGGTCATTTGGAAATTAAATATTCGGGAATCGTTACTGATCTCCCATGACTCACAAATACCCATGATATTGCGCACCAGATATTATTATTACCTGTGGTTTAACAAACAATATTAATTAAATCTAATATGAATACTTCATTATTAGAATACCCAACTTAAGTCCAGCGACTCTTGAGATGTCGCGACAGTTGATATTGTTGTTGCCTCTTCTTCACTTTATCATTTGCGCAAAATTACGATGACCGAGATCACCGCAGGTTGTATCTTGAACTTCTTCACCGGCGCGTATAAATATACGTCGGTCGTTACTCGTGCTGCTGATGTTGCTTCGCTCATTGATGTGTTTTCTAGCTTCTCTTCAATGTTGTTCGACGCCACTACCAGCATTCTGGGATTTTAGTCGTCTCTGATCTCTTGAAAAGCAAACAGAAAGTCGACGCTGCTGATGCATGAAGACGCCGCCACTGTTATTTGAAGCCGCTGCTGCTTCTTCAAAGATGCAATTGAACTTTAAGTCGCTGCTGCTGATTCTTGAAGTCGCTGCTGCTGATACTTTTTGTAGAATAGAATAGAATAGAATAAAAGTGTCGGCGTTGAAGAAATAGGCCCATGGCCTGTTGCCGATTCTTGAACTTTTCGTGACTTGATTCACAAGGGATCCAGCCTTTGGAACCCGATCTTTTCATAACTGACGATTGATTGAGATAGCTGCTGGACTTATTGCCTGGTCCGTAATTTGCTAGGCATTTAAGACTGAACATATGCTCCTGCATGCTTTTCGTGATCATTTTTCTCTATTCTTCCTCTCACTTCCTGCACTGGAACGTTGTAGTTCACTTGACTTCTATAGTCTGCGCTGGTGTATCTTCTAGTAGATGTTCTCCTTTCTTCCTTATCAGCTCTTGATACACTCTCTGAGGAAGACATTTTCACTGCACTTCACTTCAGTTCACTTCCCTGGCAATTTTAATTGTTATTACGCACTCGGGCGCCACTGTCAAATTTTATAGTGTCGCATGACATACCCGGTATTAACATTGGAACAGGGAAGGATAATGACAAGACATGTATCTAAGCGCAAGTATTAAAGATAGGTTCACGGGATACACTAGATAGAAGTTACAGGATCAAAGCACAGTATGTGCAGTAATTTTGGAGATAGAGTATAACGACACTGCGTGTTGGCTCAGAAATGTTGGGAATGACTTCTTCATTCCCGCGAGCTCTAGGGTGTGTCAGGTTACTTTTTGTTTGTTAAGTCTGGCTGTTTGGCAACATTTATATTTCTTTATTTTCCAGCTGGTGTAATTTTGAAAATTATTTATATTATTTTGCTTTTGATATCCTGACTAATGCTTAGAAATAAGCCTAAAATTTTCCCTAAATGAAACTTTTCATATTCTTCTTATTCCCAAATATTGACAATTCTCAGTTATTCATACAGAACAAATTCAGCCGCCATGTTGCCCAAGAAATGCTCACAAACCTCATAATTTTCCGCAGCCGGATCCCTCGCCCCAGTCCATGATCGGTTCTGTGAACTCCGCCGCTGTGGGGCCACACTCAGGAGGGCCTTTCCCTGCGTCTTCAGGCCTCACAACATTGGGCCACCCTGACTTATCACAACAATAACAACAACAATGTGTGAGACCCACGGGTTCTGTCGTGGTGAAGCCCATGAACGCTGGGGGTGCTCCCGTTGGTCTTATTGGTGGTACGGCGCTGCCCATCAAGATGTCAAGCTGCCCTCTGCAGCAGCAGCAAGTCTACAACAGCTCCTCCTTCACCTTAACGTCCTCAACCAATCTCTCCTCATCACTACAATGTAATACGAACCTTACCTTGAATTTAGCATCTTCAGTTCACTCTTCTCCCGTTAATATTCTATCGTGTTTTTTGATGGGTCCATCTTGCACGTCCATCTTCCCTGGAGGCGCATGCACCATGGCTCCCACTGTAAACAACTCCTTCAGATCGCAGCTCGCGCCTCCATCTTACACTTCAACTGCCATGAATGTCCCCAACATCCCTATTTCTGCTCCTCTAATAGTTTCTGCATGCAGCGGAGGTGACATCTCAAACACTTCGCTGTCACACTTCTCTCAAGCTCCTAATATAGTCGCTTCGTCCAGCCCTGCTGTTACCGACAGCAACAACTTGAGCCTCCAGACTTCCTCGCCATGTACCTCCACAATGACAAGCTCTTCTTCTGTCCTTGCTGCCACTAGTGGATCAGCTACTCTTCCTGATGATAAAACTGAAGTCATGAACTTCAGCAAACAAGAGCCTATGGATATGGACGTCACGAAGGAGCCCTCGTCACCTGAGGGCGCTGATGTCGAAGTAAAAATGGAGATCAAGACCGGAGTTAAAGATGAGCCGACTTCACCTGAGAGCGACTTCAATTCAAAGAATATTGATGGTCTCTAATGCTCCATACATCTAATGCAAGTATGCGCTGGTTCGTGAAAGAAGCGATAGTAGATTAGCATCACAAGATGTTTGTTTGGAAACCAATGTATGAATCAAAATCTGTTCCTAGCAGCATAGCTCGATACAGTTGTTTGTTTCCAGACATTAGTAGTTTGTTTTTTTTATCATTCGAATGAAATAAATTTTAGGCACATGTACACATCCATCATGCATAGTGTCCAGCGCCCAATTGCGCCCGTGCAACTGTTCTTGCTGTCCTGTTCGATCCTGGGGCATTTGATCTTGGGCTGATTTGATGTCATATGGTTTACTGTGCGCTGCTATGATGTTGGTTCATTTGATCGTGGGCTGATTTGATATCAGGCGCTTTGATCGTGGGCTGATTTGAAGCTGGGCGGTTTAATGCCAGGCGCTTAGATCCTGGGTCAGGCGTTCTGATTCGGCGGATGGATGCTGGCGACTTTCTGGTGTGTTGAATTGATGCTGGCAGCAGGTGCTTTCGATTTTATGTCTATTTGTATTGCATTTTACTCATACTTCAAAATTTGAATAGCTAAGATTTTTCCTCCTTCAGAAATTAATGTTGAAATGTAGACGAGCAAAAAATTTGTTTTTAGTTTGGGATAATAATTGGTGTATACATCATAATAACTTATAGTTTTATTTTACCTGCAAATTCAGTGAGGCTGTGATTTCTTAGTTAAGGATGTAAATTTGTTAGAGTTGTGCATATCTCTTCTGAAGAGTTGTAATGCTCTTACACACGGTTTAGGCCTAATGCCAAACAACCGCAACCCTCTGTGCTTGTCAGAAGTCCTATGGGACTTCGTGTTCTTAGGGATGCTTATTCCTGAGCGCCCCACTGCTGAGCTCGCGGTGTCAGACTGCGGGTCCCAGTTGTGGGGGTCAAGTTGTCATGTAGGTAGGATTCCTTACATTTCCCTTCTCTGTCTCTCGCGTGAGGGCGGCCGATGTCCCGTGTAAGCGACCTCTTGTTCGAGTGTCTTCGTTTCTGTTGCTCTTCACCTGTCCTTCTTTGTCACTTCGTCTCTTTGAGATGCTAACGCTACTTCTTTCGAGCCAGCTTCAGAGGGCTGGTCATCTGAGAGCTCCTGCCCTTTGTGGGTGATGATTAACTTGAGACTTAGAATAATGGAGACCTGCCGACCTGCTGGCAATGTTATATTTTTTTTACCTCCGGTGCCAAATAGCTTGTTATTTGAAGCGCTAGCAAACCATTCTTCCACTACTACTACTTGTTATAAGTTTTTGAATCTTACGTGCACGAGTAGCGAACGAGGAATTCCATTTAATATAGCAGAGTAGTTTTGATAAGGCCTTATTAGGCTGTAGCCGATTCTTAACCGCCCGGCCACCTTGCCGATTTTGACCAAAACTGTCACAGGAAGCAAGAATGTAACCCAGAACTAATCTGTCGCCGGAAGCAGGGATGTAACCCGGAACTAAACTCGTAGGAAGCAGGGATGTAACCCGGAAGTAAAACTATTGCATGAAGCAGGGATGTAACCCCCGGAACTAAACTGTCGCAGGAAGCAGGGATGCAACCCGGAACTACGGAACTAAACTGTCGCAGGAAGCAGGGATGTAACCCGGAACTAAACTGTCGCAGGAAGCAGGGATGTAACCCGGAACTAAACTGTCGCAGGAAGCAGGGATGTAACCCGGAACTAAACTGTC